TCGGAGGCCGACTCCTGGGTGGACCGGTGTCTAGCTGATTTCTCGGACTCGGAACTGGGGGACTATTGGGAGTACGATAACGAGTATTGAAGACCCAAGGTACGTATACTTATCAACCTCACCTGAGAGCCTCTTCCTAAAGCTCCGCTCTTCCCACTCCTTTTTTTCAAATTGCCCGATTTTTTCAGTGATTCCAAGAGAGAAAAGAGGCAGCAGGAGGAGTAAAAGGAAGGAGAGAACGAAGTGCAAAGAGTTCACGATGAGGAGAATGGGGAGGGAGTAGATAGGCTAGCGATTCACGATACATAGGTGGATCTTGTCTTGGGACCCGGGTAATTCCACGCTTGAGGTGGGCCAAGTAGAGGCGTGGTACCGGATAGGCTAATTAGGACTAGAGGTCGGCTCAGTGGGGGACATAGGGCGTGGGTGTGTGACTTCGGTCCGACTCCGGGGAGGGGGTTGCCACCCTTCCTCGGGGATAACCTGTGTCCGCGGCTAGTGGGGAGGAGTCTCTCAGCGGGGGAGGACAGGAAAGTAGCCGAGTGAGACGGCGTTCCTTCTCTGGTCCATTTGATCCTTTTGAGCTCACAGGCTTCTTCTCCTTGCGGGATAGAGGTGGTCCCTCGAGTGGCCAAAAGGAAATAGGAACTTAGGGAATTTTTCTTTGATTATACTGTATGAGCCTAGAAGCCACTCCCGAGTGGATTAGTGTGTCTACACATGGAAGTGTAGACGTGTGGTGCTACTCCTTTAGGCTATGGACTGGAGACTTTGATGTGGGTGTCTATGTAGAGGAGGGTCAAGATCGAGGAGAGGACTTCCTTCGAGGGTGGGAAGAGGCGATAGGCGACTCCCGCTGTTCACGGGGGGAGTTAAGGAGTTACGGATTCAAGTATTTATTCTCTAGGATATCGTACCTAACCGAGAGGTGGTCGCCCAACACCAGTGATTCCGGACGCTTATCTTGATGGATCGGACAGATGGAAAGTACTAGTGGGGATAGTGAAGCGTGTGGTGAGAGCGGCGGATCCATGAGTTTGAGGCCTTTGGAGTTTGAACTCGCAGGAATCGGTGTGGGTGATATAGGCGGGGTGGATGTTTGGTGTTATACCTTCTACTGGTGGACCGGGCACTTCGACATAGCCCTATACGTGGAAGAAGGTGTAGATAGAGCGGCAGGGTATCTGGATAGCTGGGAGGACGCGATCGGTCACGCGCAACTTGAGAGGCAGCTGCTAGGGGCTTACGAAATTAACTATTTCTACTCGTTGGGGTGTCGGACGTATCCGCGAGGGGGTAGGCCAGTCTCCACTATTCCGGACGCCTTCCTGGACGGGTCGGACGAGTGGAGAGCACTAATTCAAATCATAGAGGAGATAGTCCTAGGGGATGGTTAGGATCCTAGAGGGTACTGAGGAGGAAGGGGTTTGGATAGAGAAGGCTGATTTGAGCAAAGACAGAGAGTGTTTCATCGTTCCCTTAGACCACCGCACGGAGCGGTACCTAGCCGGTCGCGAGAAGGGGATAGAACTAGAGAGAGGGGTTTTTCTTCGGGCTCGTTTTGCGGTAGGAACCTGGAAGGGGGACAGGTGGTCCTGAAACAGGCCCCAGAACGGGAAGAGACCTAGGCGAACGGTGATCTGTGCGGAGGGAACTATCTACTTAAGTAAGGAAGCCTGGGTCGAGTACGTCACGCATTTGGTCCTAGGGTGGTACCATGCGGATCATTGGGAGGCACGGGCAACACCGATTTTGAGGCAGATCTTTGAGGCTGACCCCCTTAGACACTGCCCACCCGTCGAGGTAAGGATGACCTGCGCACGAGACGAAGAGTACCCTCGTGCCGCAGGGTGCGTAAGTGCCATATTCCCATCATTTGTTTTCCGAAGGGTGAGCGGGAAGGAGGAACGATACGACAGGGTAGTGCGGTCCATAGTGCGGGAAAGGGGGTGGCAACTCTCTGTTAGGTTACTCCATTGGTACTATACCTATTGCGTGGATAACCTGGTGCCGTACGGGATCAAGGCTTGTAGGATTCCTGTCGGGATCTTTAGGGAGTCCACCCGGGATCGCGAGGGAGGAAGAGACTACGATTACCAAAGGGTCTTCGGGGTGCCGCAGAGGGTCTTTTAGATGAATGATGTTCCATGATAAAAAGCAGGGATGCTTCTTAGAGTCCCCATTAGAAGACAGTGAGGCCCTTAGGCTGATCCCTAGCAACGGGGAAGTCCCTGATTGGGAAAGGGTAGAGGAGGGCCGGTCCACGGCCAGTGGGGAATATGTGTAGGTGAAGTCCAAGGAAGTAGAAGGCCAAGGTGTTGGACGGAGCCTTGAAGTGACCGCGGTTATTTACGTAGAGCCGGAAGCCTGGGCAAAGCTTGTTGTACCCCTAGTTCTAGGACAAGGGGGTGGGCTGGAAAAACTATTGCGAGAAGCAAGAGAGGTAAGAGGAGAATGGATAGGCAGGGCTAGAGAGAGATTTGCATTCGTATCCGTGGAAAAGGAGAGGTTCGCAAGGAAAGAAGAGCTTCCAAGGTCGAGATACCCCTTGACTTTGAGGGTGCCATCTTACCTGTTCCCTAGGGCAAACGAGGAAAAGATAGTGCGTCTTCTAGAGAGGGGTAGGAGTTAAAGACTTACCTTCTGGGCCCTGTGGGTGTTGTATACGCACTGCATCGATCAAGGTATTCCGCCGCGTAGGAGACTCTGGGGTGTTTTTCGTAGACTGGGTTCTCTAGAGAAAACCTACACTCTCTCTCAGGAAGAGTATCACAGGTGGGTCTTTAGGGCGACAAAGGCCGATGGTGAAGTTCGTTCTCAGTGAAGAAGGGGCGGTAGAATCGATAGAGGCAGGTTACCCCGAGAAGATTTTGATTCCGGGAGACCCTCAGGTGACTCCGTATTGGATGAGCATTGAGAAGGGGGGATTATTCCGAGAAGGGGCATACGTGTGGGTCCGAGCGCGAAGGCTCACTTGGAAGGAGGGTGTGGAAAGAGGAGGCTCACCTGACCTCGGTCGCTTCCTGGAGATCAGGGCGACCATTTTTTTCGACGAAGAGAGGTGGACCGAAGTCTGGAGAGGTTTAGTGACCGGGCAGCTTACGCACTTTGAGTACCGAGAGTCTGCAAGGCTGTTGGCAAACAACCTAGTGTTAACTGACTACGAGGAAGGGACTTTCGAGTCGTGGTCGCTAGTGTCCTTCGCCGAGCCGGGAGATGTCCCCCGCGCTTCCGGGGTCCTTCACACTAACCTGCCCCAATTCGTGGCGAGTTCTTTCCTAAGAGACCCGGAGGAAAGGGTAGTAGTGGTGCTTAGAGCGGCTGGAGAATCCGGGGTGCGGGCTAGAGGTTTATTCTGGCTTTATACTTGGTGCGTGGGCGCGGGAATTCCCCCAAGGAGTGAGCTATCCGCCATATTCGGAAGATTGAGGGAGTTTGAGGGGCTCCGATCCCTCGTCCCGGACGTTCTATACGCCAGACTCTTCGGAGAAGAACAACTGGCTAACCGGAGGGGTTTTGAGGGCCGATGATAAGGAGGATTCCGAGAACTCTCTGGGCGTCCATAGAGCCCGTAGAGGATACTGGGGAGGTTATCCGTGTCACTCTGCCTAGGACCCGGTTGACTTAACCAATGAGGACTCTCCTACGAGAAGAGGGGGAGATCCGGCGCGGTAAGACTTTCATACGATTTGCGGTGAGTCGCCAGGGGGAGGTCTTAGTTGGGGAAGCCCGGATATTCCTTTCGAAGGAGGGGTTTGTTGAGATAGCGCGTAGCTTGTGCCTTGGACAGGACCCTCTTTGGGGCGCTCGAGCCGTGAGAGGCCGGCTGGGGGAGTTAGTAGAGGAGTTGGGACCTCACGAAGGGCGCAACGAGGAATATCTAGTGACCTACGGGGGTTGGGAAGAAATACCGCGGTTCATCTCCAGCGAGCCGGTGGAGGTCCCCAGTTTTATAATTAAGCGGCTTTACCCCTCCGAGGCTGTTAAGAAGGCGGTAGGACGGAGGGTTTCCATCCTAAGTCAGTTCAGGTTCACGGGATAAGACCTGCACACCTTGTTAACTTGGCGTTTTTGAGATCCCTATAGAGACGATTGGGAGACCCTGGAGGACCTGAGCTACGCATTTGAAGGATGGGGTCGCCACGCGAGAGAATCTAAGATATCATGGAGGTACCTAGGTGAGATCTGCGAGGGAGAGGTAGCGGGGCTGGACCCCTCTGATTTGATTCGGGTAGCAATTGCGTGTCGTCGGCGAAAGTTAAGGGATGACCGAGCCGGACCTTGAGGAGCTAGTGGGGTTGGAAAGAGTGAGGGAATAAATTCACCGGATCCTTGCACTGTGCTGGGAAGAAGAAAGGAGGGCTAGGCCTAGGTCCTTAGCCAGGATCAAGCTACTTGAGGCGACCACAGTCGCTATCCTCGACGAAGTCACGATAGATCTTTTCTCGCGGTGAGGGGATGAGAGCCTCATTCGTCTCCAATAGGATTCGTTGGGAGTTAGAGACCTACGAGGACGGGAGCAAGGTTAGGGTCGAAGGGGGTGCGGAGCTTAACCCGGCATTGGAGGGCCGGGTAGTCCGCGCCGAGACCGAGTTTTTAGTGGAGGTCCGACGACTAGCTTTGTGGAAAAGAAGGAACTGGACCACGCAAGCTACCTTCGCGGTCTACATTAGGGATGCAAGTGGAGTGAGATTTTGAAGGATTTGGAGGGAGCCTTTGTTGGAAGTAGAAAGAAAGTTCGAAGAGGACTCAAGGTTTCTGGGGACGCCACTGACATCTAGGACACACCTTGTGGAGACCCGATTTTGGGATAGAACGGAGGAGTACGAGGAGGCTCTGCGCCAAACTCTGCGACGGGGCGAGGAGGCCGGTTGCGCCGAGTGCGAAGACTCGTTGCTTGAGGCCGCCACAAGATTGGCAGGAGTGAGGTGAAGCTCCTATGATTAGATACGAAAGGGGGGACCCTTACGGTACCATAGAAAGGGTTTGGACATGGGGAGGGAGATATGGAGTGACACTTCCAAGAATTAGAGGAGAAGGAGAAGTGACTACCGAGTTCTTCGAGATTTACGAGCAAGAGACGGTGGTCAGATTCTCGGTAGCATCCGAGGGGAACAACTGCACTAGAAAGGCGGAAATCTTCTTGTCCCCTGACGCCCGGCTGGTCTTCGCAACTGAATTAGCGGAAGCGAAAGATCCTCTAGGCATTGCCGAAAGAGCCCTAGAACGAGTGCAGAGATTAAGAAGAATTGACACCGGAGACCCCGTGAACGACAAGGTAGAGTACCGAGAGAGGACGGAAGTTCCAAGGGCAGCCCGCGGGAGCACTTGGACCATCCCTACCTGGGCCTATCGACTATTCTATGCTGACGACGAGACCGTGAGGAGAGTCCGATTGAGGGGTCAAGTGATAGAAAAATTTCCGCTGGGAGAAGAAGGAGGCCACGAGCTATTCACCCAGTGCTGGGAGTCAAGGGAAGACACCGACTTCGAGTGGTGGGCCCGTGTTGGGGAGTTCATCAAGCCCCTGTTCTCCGGGCAAGCTGGTGATGTGGATAGGGATCACATTAGAAGGTGTGCGCAAGAGGGGATTAGGGATATCTCGGACCTTGAGATAGCAAATCTTGCTTTCGCCGCTAGTGAGGAGAAGAAGCTGCGGGATTCTTGGTGGACGGTGACCAGAGAGGAATCGGAGGGAGAAGGGGCTAGCGAGGATTCTAGTGAGGAGAAGGGGGGATCGGAGGAAGAGACGAGCTCGGGGAGTAACGGGGGCAGTAGTAGTACCACAGACGATAGTGAAGGAAGCGGCTAGAAAAAACCAATAAAGGTGCATGGAGAGTGAAGTGGGGGTTGGCCTCCCTAGCCCGCCAGAAACCACTGAGAGAAGAGGGATAGTGAAGAGCCCCGAATTGGGGACCAGTCTAAGCAGGGTAGTGAAGGAAATGACAGAGGCGACAGAGGCACTAGACAAGGTCGAGAGGGGTCCGGAAATGGCTTCGGGGGAAAGGCAAGCCTCGGAGGGGCAAAGGGCCGTCACGGAAATGCAAGTGCACAGGTATGTGGGGCCGCGGGTGCCGGTAAACGAAGAGGTAGCCGAAGCCGCGAGAGGCGTTCCGGTGGAGTCCCGGTGGGCTGACCTAATGGATGGGGAAGCAAGATTAGAGGAAGCACGGGAATTTTCTAGAGATAGACAGGGGTATTGACCGCTTAGGGGAGAGGAAGAGGTGTGTCGGGACAGGAGAGACTTGCGAGAGGAAGGGTCAGCCGAGGCCGACGGCCGGCGGCGGAGATGGGCCGATAGGATTCCGGAGGGTGTCGCCGGTGAAAGGCAGGCCTTAGTGGGGCCAAGAACTGGCACGGAAAGGCGAATGCCTGCACGGGAAGGGACGATCGAGGGCTCGAGAGGCCTCCCTTTAAAATCTCGGTGGGGGGATTTGTCGGGCACAAGAATGGGAGAAGCCCTGGAATTTCCAAGAGATAGGCAAGGGTACCGACCACTCCTAAGAGAAGAGGAAGGGGGACCAAGTAGAAGGGGTCCTAGAGAAGAAAGGCCGGCGGAGGCTGGTAGTAGGTCGCGTAGATGGGCCGATGCGGCTTGGGCACCTGGCGAGATAACGGGCAGGAGTCAAGGGATGGAGGCCCGGAGGAGTTTTAGAGGGCAGGACCACGCTCGGTGGGAAGCGGACTGGCCGGATGAGCGGGGCCGCTACGGGGAAGAACCCTGGGAGCCATCAAGACCTCGAGGCCAAGTAGAGGAGCCCGATTCCTTGTGGTACAAATCATACGATCCGCCCACCGATGGACCTATGGAAGGCCCCTATTTTCGCCGATATGACGACCGACGGGTGCCCTGTTATGATGTCAACCTGGGTCTGGAGGCGCTTTTTTTCGATGGACGAGATGTAACTGGGTTCGTAGAAAAGTGGGAAAGGTACGCTTACCGCAAGAGATTCTCCGAGAGGGAGTGGATCGATTATTTCATCCAACGCTCAGACCCCGAGCTAGACACCGCGATCCGAGCTATCTACCCTTTAGACGAACGATGGAGGACCTTTCGGGCAAGCTAGTTGCAGACTTTCGCCTGTGCTGACCTGATCCCGATCGTGGAGGGCTTGAGACGTATTACAAGGGGGGAAAGGGAGAGCTTGGTAGCCTTTACCCGTAGGTTCAAGCGTCTGTCCCAAGCCCTAGTGGATAGGGGCATGCTGTCGGAAGTAGACAGGTGCGTAATGTTCACGCTGCATCTGCCCGAAGAAAAGAGGAAGGAGGTCCTTGAGAAGGCCTCGAGGGATTCTGCAAATTTCGAGAAAGTAGCCGAGGTGGTTTTCACAGGTGGAGGGGTAGACGTAAGAGAATACATGAAAGAGACCTTGGACATGGCTCTCCGCAACATGCCAGGGACACAGAATGATGGTCCGAGGGGGAACGATAGACCGCCACCTGGTCCCCCTATTCCCCGGTGGGGTGAACAGCCGACCGGATGGAGAAACGAATCAAGTGGCCAAGGAGGTTGGAGGAACGACCGGGAGATGGGAGGGAATCGTGGTTCCGATTGGGGATTCCCATTGGAAGGATGCTAGGGATGGAAGGTGGGGAGACGCCCCTCAAGCTAGGGCCCTTGGGCCGCGACCGGAGGTTAGAGCGCCACCACCCCTGGCACCACCACCACCGGCTCCGCCTGCGCCCATAGCGACAATAGCACAAGGGGGTCCACGCTCCAACAATCCCCAAGCTCGGGCCGGGTGTGTCTACGGCAACGAAGAAAACCACATCAAAAGGGACTGCCCTTATCTGACGGAGGCTTTGAGATTGAGAGTAGTCAAGTTGAATGAAAACAAGTGGGTTGTGTGGAGAGATAGCGGATAGGCGGTCTCCTTCTATCCATCGATGAAGGTAAACGTGGACAAGAGGGTGGCCCTTCAAGAGGCTAGGCTGGGAAAGAAGCCGGAGGTCGGGGGCTCCTCCAGCGCGGCTCACATCCAAATGGAGTTACCAAGAGGGTTGTCCATTAGGGAAAACCAAGTATCAAGCATCAAATTCATAGATACACAGGCCGAGGAGGAGAGACCTTGCCTGAGAGTGAGGACGCAGATCGGGGCTGAGACCTCGGAGAATCAAGCAAGCGTGACGGAGAGTACGAAGGTAAAAAGCGGCGACAATGACCAGTGCGAAAGCACTGGAGGAAAATAAGGAAGAGCCCACCTTGCCAAAATCACCTAAGAAAAGGAGCCCCAAAAAGTTCGAAATTAAGTGCACCCTGGATGAGATAGACACGGTAGCCCCCCTTAGGAGAACCCTGATGCAGCCTATGCAGTGCACGCTTCTGGAATATCTAGCCGCAAGCAAAAGCGCCAGGGAGGAGCTTCTAAGCATCACAAGAAAGGTTAGAGTCACAATCGTTGGGGGACCCACGGTGCCGATAGAGGGTCCGACCAAAGAAGAGGTTCAGGCTTCCCGCATTACCTTGGAGGAGCTACCTGCCAACTTCTTCTAGGGAGAAGAGGCCAATAAATTCTATGTGCTGGGTAGCGGCCAACTCCAGGCGATAGTAAGTGGGAAAAAGATGAGGGCTCTTGTGGATAACGGTGTCAGGCGGCCACAAGCAGTGCGCCGCCTGAGATCTGCAGTTTTGGGACTTAGGCTCAAGGACAAATCCGTGTTTTGATGGTAGTCTCGTATGACCAG